AGAAAATGCTTGAGAAGTTTCTGCTGGGAGATATATATTGTAAACCAGAATTCCCACTTTACTTTTTTGGTCAGGTTTATTGTGATATAATTCACATGTAGTAAAAGTCACTCTTTTGAGTTGTTTGACAGTTCTTTGAGTTCTGAGAAATACATCCTGTATAGTCAGGAATCAAGATCCAGAATATTTCCATCATCCCCAAAAGTTGCCTGGTACCCTTCTAGTCAGTCTTCTCCCCCACCCCAGCACGTGACAGCCGTTGTCTAATTTCTACCTATAGTTTTTGCCTCTTCCAGAATGTGATATAAGTGGAATCAAATGGTACATAACCATTTGTGTTCTTCTTCTTTTATTTAGCATAACGCTTTTCCTTTTTGTCTTTTTTCGTGACGGGTAACGGGATTGCAACCCTCAGTGTCACGCCCGTACCGCGACCGGCAACGGGATCGCAACCCTCGGTATTGCGCCCGCACTGCGCTCAGCCAGTGAGCGGACCGGTCTCTATATGGGATCCGAACCCACGGCGGAAGCGCGTGCGCCACCGGGCCAGCCCTTAGCATAATGCTTTTGAGATGTCCTTGCATGTGTCAGTTTGTTTGTTCCTTTCTCTTGCTGAACAGTACCCCAGTGTATTGACGATTCACAATCTATTTACCCATTCACCAGTTGTTGGATGTGAGTTGCTTTCCTATTTTTAGTGATTATGAAGTTGCTATAAATATTTGTGGAAACCTTTGTGCACAGGTGTTTTAATTTCTCTTGGATAAACAACAGGGGGTGGAATTGCTGGGTCCTATGGTAAGTATAATTTAACTTTATGAGAAATTGCCAAACTGTTTTCTAAAGTGGTTGTACCTCTTTGCATTCCCACTAGAATAATATGAAGTTCTAGTTGCTCTGGATCCTTCTCAGCAAATCTTGCTGTGGTTTTAACTAGCATTTCCCTAATGACTAATGATGTTAAACGTCTTTTTATAGGCTTAGTAGCCATTTGTATATCTTTTTTGGTGAATACATTATTGGGCCCATTTTAAAAACTGGGTTATCTTCTTATCATTGAGTTGTGAGAGTTCTTTATATATTCTGGATAGAAGTACTTTGTCAGATACGTGTTTTGTAAATATTTTCTCCCAGTCTATAGCTCTCCACTTTATTAACAGTGTCTTTTAAAGTGCAGACATTTTTTATTTTGGTGATGCTCAATGTATCAACTTTTTATTTTATAATGTATGATTTTTATGTCCTAGAAATTTTTGCCCATCTTTAGGTCACAAAGATTGTCTCCTATGTTTTCTTCTGGAAGATTTATAGTGTTAGGTTTTACATGTACGTTTATGATTAATTTTGAGTTAATTTTTGTTTACAGTACAGATTATGGGTTGAAGTTCATTATTTTTCAGGTGGATGTCCAATTGTTCAGCCCCATTTATTGGAAAAATTATCTTTTATCCATTGAATTAACTTAGGACAGTTGGTGAAAATCAATTGACCATGTATGTGTGGATCTACTTCTGAGTTCTCTATTTTGCTTAATTGGTCTTTGTATTTCTCCTTCTGCCAATACTACGCTGCTTTGATTGCTGTATAACTTTATAGTAAGTCTTTTTTCTAAAGGTATTTTTTAATTGAAATGCACTCATTGTACATTTTTATGGGGCACAGCATTATATTTCAATACATGTATACAATGTATGATGATTAAATCTGGGTAATTAGCATATTCATCATTTTAAAACTTTATCATTTCTGTGTGATAAGAACATTTGATCTATTTTCTAGCCATTTGAGAATATACAATAAATTATTACTAATTATAGATATCTAGCACTACCGTGTACTACTGGAAGTTATTTTTTCCTATCTAGCTGTAATTTTGTGTCCATTAACCAACCTCTCCCTACACCCCTCTCCTCCTCCCCTTCCCAGACTCTGGTAACTACAGTTCCACTCTCCACTTTATAGTAAGTCTTGAAATCAGGTCTTGGTAATCCTCTCACTTTATTATTCTTTTTCAAAACCATGTTGGTAATTCCAGTTCCTTTGATTTCCCATATAAATTTTAGAATCAGCTTGTTGAATTTTACAGAAAAAGCTGCCAGGATTTTTAATTGGTATTACAATTTTGGGGATTATAGTTTAATGTACACAAACAAATTTGGGGACAATTGACCTCTTAACAACACTGAGTCTTTCAATCTATTACACACAGTATTTCTCTCTACTTATTGGGTTTTCTTTTCCTCAATATGTTGTGGTTTTCAGTATACAAATATTGCACATACTTTGTCAACTTTATTGCTAAGTATTTTGTTTTTCATTGCTATTGTAAATTGTTCATTTTCCAACTGTTCATTATTAGAATATGGAAATACATTGATTAATATATTTATCTTGTATCCTGCAAGCTTCCTAAAATCATTTATTTGTTTTAGCAGGTTTTCTGTAGATTCTCTGGGATTTTTCTACATAGACTATCATGTTGTCTGTGAAGAAAGAATTTCTATCTTTCTGGGTTTTTTTTTGTCTTTTTGTTTTTTTTTTCCTTTTTGTCTTTTTTCGTGACCGGCAACGGATCGCAACCCTCAGTGTCGCGCCTGTACCGGACCGGGACCGGCAACGGGATCGCAACCCTCGGTGTTGCGCCC